GCGGGGGTGGTGGTTCCGACACGGGATTCACCCAGCCGGTTCGCGTGGCTGCTCGTTCCGGGTGGTCGCCTTTGCGAACCCCCTATCCGAGCGACACACCGCGAGTCTGATACAAAGTTCTCCGACCTCGGAGCCCTGTCACAGTTCCCCTCCCCGTCCCCTCAGAGGAGGAGCCACGAGACAACCGACCGGAGCCACAAGAACTTTCACAAGTACTCTCTGGGCCTGGGTGGAGGCCTCTTCCTGTCGCTCCTCTCGGCGGCGGCGGAGGACTGCTGCTCCCTGTCGTCGGTGCACTCGAGCATCTGCGTGGTCTCGGTGGCCTCGGACGGGCTGATCGGCTGGCTGGCCAGCGGCGCCAACGGCGCGGCCCCCTTGTTCCGCGATTTGCTCCTGCGCTTCCTCAGGATCAACGGGCCCAGCGGCGCGGCGTCGTCCGACCTGGACGTGGTCGCCTGCGCGAGCCTCTCCAGCAGCTCCTTGCTGACCTCCCTGGACGAGCTCTTGTAGTCCGAGTCCTTCAGCCTGCCCGAGGACGGTTCGTGGTGATGGTGATGGTGATGATGATGATCCTGGGACTTGGAGCTGCGCTCGGTGGTCGTGCCCTGCTCCCTGTAGCCTTCCCCTGCCATCGTCGACGTGGACGTGGTCGCTATCGAGACCTTCTGCTCGCCGATCCCGCCGTTCGTCTGGGTCGCCTGCTGGCAGCTCGACGAACTCTGGCCCTGGCTGGACGGCTGACTTTGCCCGGACCCGTTGCTGCCCGGCGGGAAGCCGGCCTTCTGCTGCTGCGGGCTCACGGTGGGCAGCCGGCTCATCAGCATCTGCAGCATGTCCTCTATCTTTGCTAGCCTCTGGTTCACGCGCTGCACCTCCAGCTTTAGGTCTACCTTCACCTCGAGCACCGCGGCCAGGATCTCCCTGTCGTGGCTCGGCTGCGTGCTGATCAGACCGTCGTCGTAGCTCTCCAGTCGACGCAGCTGCAGCTGTTTCGAGTCCGCCGCGCTCGCCTGCTGCTGCTGCTGCTGGCTACTCTCCTTACCGGTGTCCCCGTCACCGGACTCCTCGATCGTCCCGGTCAGCTTGCCGAACTTCGGGAACACCTTGTTGCTGCCGCCGCTCGAGCTTGGACGCGCGTCCCGTGCGCTCAACGACCGCTTGAACGTGTCCACGCCTGTTCCTGTTTCGCTACCCGAGTCCAGGCTCGCGCTTCCTGCAATCAACCGTTGCGTTTTATTATGAAAGTTTCGCTACAGGGGAGTTTCACCGAGGCAGGGGTTGTGGAGGTTCAACATACCAGCTTTACCGTACTACGGTAAAGTATTCTGTTTTATCGAACCGTCGCAGTTCTTTTACCGACCGTGCAGAACGGTTTGTTTTACATTACACGATCGTTCTCGTTGAAGAATAAATTATTTCATCGTTTAAACAACGAAGCACCGTCGTTGGAAACATGTATCATCCTTCAGCGGCATGGAACGACTAGCCCAGTCGGTAATAGCAACACTGCCGACAATATGGCGTTCACCCTTATGCTTCGCGTTCTCCGTTATCTTTGTTTTACGCGATAGAACCGATGTTATCGTTAAGAATCGGATTACCTAACAATCGTCCCCACTTTCCGGGTCGACCTTTGGTGGCGGTGCCTTCGTCGGCGGCGGAGAGTTTCCTCGAGTGCGAGGACTCGCCCTCCTTGCCGTCCTTGCCGTCCTTCCCATCCCCTTTCTCCACGTCGGCGGTGTGCCTCTCCCTGCGGAACCTGGATCGAAAAAAAAGTAGAGAGCGAGAACGCTCGTGTTTAGTAACCGCACGAGACCAACTGGACGGGGCTATTTACAATTTACGGGGTCAAAGAGGCCAGTTTCACTAGGCGATTATATAATTAAGTAAAGGGGGATAATAGTAAAATACATGGTGTACAAAGTCGTGGAAAATGGGATCGGATTACTTTCTCCCCGGATAATACAAGTTTCACTCGTCTCGGCT